CCCCCCCCCCCCCCCCCGCTCTATCTCTTTCTGTCTGTCGTTGGCAGCAAATCGTTCGCAGCCAATTAGCGGAGCTTTCGATATAACGATCGACTGACGAAGATTCGAGTCCGTTCCGCGATCAGGAGGGTGATGAACGTAAGGGAACGCTCTCGGCTCCCCTCCGTTCTTCCACCTCTTGCGCAGTCCCTCGTCCTTTTCCCTCTAACCGTGTTCCTTCGGTTCGGTCGAGTCAGCCGAAGCGCAGATTTCATTGACGTGGTCGCTGAGCTGGCAATTAGTCGCAACGACCCCGTTCGCGCACAGCTCCGCTATAGTTACCCCAGCGCGGTGCCTGCCATGTGGTCGAAGATCAAACGACATCCTGAATCAAAGCGAGCCCGGTTGGGGTCTCCCGAGGATCGCCAGAGACGCGGCTTTCGTTGATCGTCGGATCGAGACGCGCGATTCACCTCTGTCTAATTAGAATTCACGTGCCGATAAACGGGTGTACTCGTTCGGTGCTCGCGAATTAAACAGGGGGATGAAGAAAATAATCGCAAATTCCCTGCCATTTTTTTCTCGCTCGATCCCGTGCCCACGAGGTTCTCCCTCTCGCGTCGTTCCCCCGGCGGCGAGCCAAGGTGTAACGGTGAAGAATCGGCGAAACTCGTTTGGTTCCACGATTACATTAGCTCTGGCTAATTAGAATCGAAGAGCGGGAGAAACGAGCGTACACGCGGTTCGCGGTGCTCAGGGAAAAGGAAAAGGTCGAGTCAGCCGCGGATAGCGCGTTCCGTCCGTCCTCCGGGCAAAACGAATTTCGTTAGTACTACGTGGTCGGCAACAGCGATATCGTTAAAAAGTGTTGGTCGAGGCACGCGGACCGATGCAGTCGCGACCCGGTTTTTTTCGTCGTGCACGCGAGAAACCAACGACTACGTTCCATTCGTTTGCCGGTGGACGCTCATTGCCGAGCCTCAGGTATATACCTCGAGCCCCCGATAAGATCGTTCGTGCTTCCAGAGGAGTTCCTCCTCTCTCTCTCTCTCTCTCTCTCTCTCTCTCCCCCCTTACGTTCGTGCTCCTTCTCCTCGAATCGCTCTCCCTCCCCACTTTTCAACGTGTACCCTCTGTCATCCTATCTGGGTGCATTACTTATCGGGCTATCGAATGTCCTGACCATGATCTTGGCACGCGAGCGCCGATACCATCGTACCACTCGATCATCCTATCGCCGTGCAATGCGCCCTGATGCACTCCTGCTCGGAAGCCTAATTGGCCGGCGTTGAAAAAGGGGTACCAAGCCTTTCTCTCTCTGTACCCCCCTTCTTGTCGTTGTTTCGTTATGCGAAGACAAAGAAAGAAAAGTAATGTCTAATTCACCGTGGCTTAGTTCTATTAGATTTTCCGTATGAACGTTCATTCGGGTGTAGAGCTCGCGCGAAAACTGCTGTCTCGTCGAGCGAGGTGAACGTGTGTCGAGCCTTCCTCACACTCGTTACCCCCTCGGCGGTATGAAAATCCCGATAAACCAATTATCTTACACCGCAAACGGTATTACATATCCTCGCCTTCTTTCCGCCTTCACTCGCTCTCTCATCGTCTAGTTCGATCGACCTCCTCGCCCGCAATTAGTTCCTCCGTTTTGTCCGATTTTACCAACTCGGCTGGCCGATTCGTCAGAGACGCTCACGCTCCGCTTTTCTTGCCAGAAAAACGATCACGTCCCGAGCGTGATAATCGATCCATTCTCCCGCTCGAACGGTGTCGTGACTCGTTTTCGCGAGACCGTGGAGGCCCTTACTCTCCTCCGTTGGTTAATTGAGACATCAGTTAGTTAACAAGAAATTGCCGGGACGAGAACC